GTGGGAACTTCGAGATCTACAGTGATGCATCTCTGAATGGTCTTGGTTGTGTGTTAAGGCAGCATGATAAAGTGATTGCTTATGCATCATGACAGTTAAATCCCCATGAGAAAAACTATCATACTCACGACCTCGAGTTGACAGCGATCATCTTTGCTTTGAAAATTTGGAGGCACTATCTTTATGGGGAAAAGTGTAAGATCTTCACTGATCATAAGAGCCTTAAGTACATCTTCAATTAGCCGAACCTCAATCTTTGGCAGTGGAGGTGGGTAGAGTTACTCAGTGATTATGACTGCACCATTAAGTATCACCCAGGTCGTGCTAATTCAGTAGCTGATGCTCTTAGTAGGAAGTCTCATGGCCAACTTAATGCTCTTTATGCTAGCCGCATTCTTCTTTCGATTGACCTAAGATCCACTGAAGTAGCATTGAAAGAGGGTCGTCGGGGGGCCCTAATTGCCAGTTTTCAAGTCAGACCGGTTCTGTTGGATCGTGTTATCAAAGCCCAAAGGAACAATACAGAATCTCAGGAATTGATACAGGCAGTGTCAGACGGGAAAAAGAATGACCTCTGGATTAGAGATCCTGACGGCAGGCATGCTTATGTAAGGTGATCAGATGTTTGTACCGAATGTTGAGGAATTAAAGAAAGACATATTGGATGAAACGCATATCTCTGCTTATGCGATGCATCCAGGGAGCACCAAGATGTATCATACCATCCGACACTTCTATTATTGGCCAGGTATGAAAAGAGAGATTGCAGAGTATGTTAGTCGTTGTGCAATTTGCAAGCAGATTAAGGCAGAAAGGAAAAAGCCGTTTGGATTGCTGCAACCACTCCCGATATGTCAGTGGAAATGGGAAGATATTACGATGGATTTCGTGTACAAGTTACCTCGTACTCGAAACGGTTAGATGGTATCTAGGTAGTAGTTGATCGACTTACCAAGTCAGCGCACTTCATACTCGTTTGTGAGAATTACTCGTTGAATCAGTTGGCCGAACGGTTCGTCTCTAAAGTGGTTAGGTACCACGGAGTCCCAGTTAGTATCATTTCTGACCGGGATCCCAGATTCACTTCAAAATTCTGGGTAGCTTTTCAGGAAGCTTTAGGATCGAGATTACTCTACAGCACCGCCTATGATCCCCAAACAGATGGGCAGTCAGAAAGAACTATCTAGACTTTGGAAGATATGTTGAGATCGTCAGTTCTACAGTTTGGAGACGCTTGGCACAAGCGCTTACCGTTGATAGAGTTCGCGTACAACAACAGCTTCCATTCTAGTATTGGTATGGCATTATTTGAAGCGTTGTATGGGAAACCCTGCTGTACTCCACTTTGTTGGTCCAGGTTAGCGAACGAGTTTTAGTGGGCCCTGAGATCGTGAAGAAGACGACACAGAACATTCAGGTGATAAAGGCTAACTTGAAAGCGGCCCAGGATCGAGAGAAGAGTATCGTCGACAGACATTCTACCGACAGAGTTTATAAGGTTGGTGATTGGGTATTCTTGAAGTTATCGCTGTGGAAATGTGTTGTGCAATTCGAAAAGAAAGGGAAACTCAACCCTAGGTACATCGGACCGTACTAGATCGTTGAACGAGTCGGTGAAGTTGCTTATCGACTTGCCTTTCCACCAGAGTTGGTGAGAGTGCACAATGTGTTTCATGTATCGATGCTACGAAGGTACGTTTCTGATTCGTCACACGTAATCCCTCATCAGCCTCTGGAGATCAATCCAAATTTGACCTATGATGAGGTTCTAGTGACTATCCTTGATTGGAAGGATAAGGTTCTTAGGAACAAGACCGTGCGGATGGTGAAGGTTTTGTGGAAGAACCACTCAGTAGAGGAAGCCACTTGGGAGGCAGAAGAGCGTATGCGAGATATTTATCCACGTCTATTTTATGGCTTTGATAGTAGTTAGTATTGAAATTTTGTGGACGAAATTTTTATAAGGGGGTAGATTGTGACGACCCGTCCCTAATTTTCCTATGTAATTTCTCCCCGAGTATGTAAATTGACGATTATGCCCTTATTGGCAAGTGACGTGGACTTATTCTTATCGCTTTCCATTTTATTTCTCGCTATCGCATTTAAATTGTACATGCTAGTACGAGTAGACATAGATTTTAAAGTGTAAAAATATCTACTTCGGATAGATTTCGATTTCCTTTTACTGTAGGAAATCTAAAACCCTATCCTTATATTCCTTTAAACCCATCTCGTGCACTTCCCCCTTCATTATTCACTATCACCTATCCCATCCCTTCTTTATTTTCTGTTCCCTCAATCAGAAAATCATCTCTCTCTCTCTTCTCCCTCTCCCACGCCACATTTCTTCTTTTTCTTCTTCATCTTTGCAACCTTCACAAAACATACCAAAACTCACAAACATGACAAACCAACTACACCATTGTGATCATCTCAGTCCCACGATCATAACCATGTCCTTGAAATCTGGTGTGGACGAGTTTTGACTCACCAACTCGGAAGGTCGACTCGGCGGGTTCGACATATCGATTTTCAAGCCATGCATGGCTTAGGTAAGCCTTGAGAAACCCTTAGAACCTTCATTTCACTTCTATGGGTTGTTATTGATCCTTTGTTTGTGTTTTGAACGTGTGGTTTTACACAGAAGCTCGAGAAAAAGGAGAACCTACCATTTTTCACTCAAGAACCGTGGCCATTTGGTCACTTTCAAACCATTTTTCTTGTCAACCTCGACCACAACTGGACTTCTTCTAGGTACAAACTTGTTCTCTACATTCCTAACTTCAAAATGGCTTTTGAATCACTGAGTTTGGTTAAGTAACCAGTTAGAAATCAACTCTGGAAGTTAGGAAGAAAATTTTAGTTTTCTGGAAAATTTCAGTCATGGTCGTTTGGCCACTTTTAGGCCAAATTTCTGAAGAACACAGACTATATTCGAACTTTCAGTAAATTGGGATTGGTAGAACACATTCCTAGCTTTAATTTGGCTTTTGTAGAAGTGAATTTGGTTGAGAATTGAGCTCGTTAGGGGCTTTGGAAATTGGCCCAATAATCTGCAAAATTGCAGATTTTCGCAAAGAAGGCGAGTACAGTGTACACACAGGGGCGCGTGGGCGCACGTGGGCAGCCACTTTGGGTGGCGCATGGGGCCACGTCAGGCCTTAGGCCAGCGCGTTGTTGACACGTGTGTGTTTGTGTCGTCGAGTAGATCAATTTCATATATTTACACCCTAGGTTTCCGTTATGTGCTTTAATTAATGTTATTTAGTTATTTCACATATAGGGGAAACTTATTCCAAGGATTTTCGAGGCCAAGCTAGGCTCGGGGGCTACGAGCCAGCGACGTACTTGTGAGTTGGCAGTTGTTTTATACCTATATATATTTATAGTTTCCATAAATACGTATTTACTTCACTTTTACGCCTATCTTGCCTAGTATCATTATTGTGATATAAATTATGATAAATGCTGCTATATGGTTGTGATATTACTATCATGGTATTCATATGTACTTGTATACATGCTCATCTTGCTGCACCCGATATTAGTACTCGCCCCAAGGCCAGGACCAGTCCTTCACGTGTATGTACACATCCGCACCGTTCACTCACCTTGGATCCAAGTTTAGGTGCCAGTCTTGTCAGGTAGATTACATTTGGCAATCCAACTTGTATGTGATGTGCTTTTGCATCAGTCTTCACGTGATCGTAATACTAGAGCATATTGATTACACCCAGTCCTGTTCGTGTCAGAAACCATCTGTTCGAACTTGTGTGTCGGCTTAGATGGATGAGCACTTAGTTATACTTGCTTATCACATGATTATTATTGTGGCATATGGTACATCATTTACTTGGCATATTTATGGTTATATGGCTGATATATTGGATTTCATACTTACGTAGTATGTTTTGAGGAAACTATACTTGTTTTACAGCGAGGGGTTAGTATATTCAAAGATAAAGGTTTTCTTATAAACACTCAACTTTGATTTTCGCCCCTCTAGGACTTAGATAGCTGTACTCTCTGTGGCACTTGAGGAATCACGGCAGTTCTGACATTTCCTTCTGTTTAGACGTACGAACTTATCACTATTATATAATAAGTGTACTTTGGTTGCTTTGACTACTCTTTCGTAGTCTCACTGTCTATTACACTCTGAATAATTGTAGTGGGTTCAACCCACAAATTGCGCACTCTTTCACTGTTTAGTTTTATTTAGTTTTAATTTTATTCCCTTTTTGCATCACTTACCCTTATGGTTACGTCACCTCACGGTGATGGCCAGCATGCTTAGACCTTTCCAGGTCGGGGTGTGTCAATTTTTCTATCATTAATTAAATATACAATGTCACGTGATGGTATACACATGAGTACAAACACAAATAAAACTTTAAAAAATATGGGCACAAAAAGAAACTAATATATGGGTACAAATTAAAAAATATTTGCAAATTAAAAATAGGTACAAAAAATTAAAAATATATGATAAAAAATTTAGCCATAAATATAAATATACTAATTGTAACATTTTTAACATTAAAGGAATATATTTTAAAATAAAAATATTTATTATTCAAATAATTAATGATGTTATTAATACCTAAGGACCTTGATCAAAAATTGAAAATGAATAGGATTTTAATCAATGGAGTAACAAAAAAAATGATGTGAACCTAATTTTCCCTATAATTAATAAAACGAGAGCAATAACTCTGTTTAACTTTTCATACATAAAACTGGTACAATATGTAAAACAGGTGAATTGTGTAAGGTACTAATGTGAGAATACGCAATATATCTTTGTTTTTTATTTCCGGTCAATAGCAATATATATATGTTTATTGATGCAATTAAATTTGTCTTTTATTGGATAAATTTTTTGTCCCAAAAGCAAATCATTCAACTCTTACTATACGTCTCTCTCTCTCTCTCTCTCTCTCTCTCTGTATATATATATATATATATAAACCACTTTCATTTCTCTATAATACATCTTGCCTACTTCTTAATAAGCTCTCCTCTCTTCTCCTCCTTTTTCCTTCACACACACACATAACAAAAATGGTGAAGTTCTCAAAGGAGCTTGAAGCTCAGCTTATACCAGAATGGAAGGGTGCTTTCGTCAACTACTGGCTACTCAAGAAACAAGTTAAGAAGATCAAGCTTTCAAGAGTCCCCAAACAACCCTCAGACGCAGCCGGAGATTTTGGTGTCTCCATTTTCGATCCAGTTCGCTTTGTCACCAAAAGAATTAGTGACATGTTGTTCAATTTCGATAACAAAACGGAGATAATTCAGGTAATCAATTAATGCACACGAATAGAACATGTCAATAGTTATATATCTATTAACATATTAATTTTGCAATGAGAGGGGCTTTTGTAGAGCTCTACAGAGGTCTTGGTTTGCTTAAAACTTACAGGTTCTATCTCTTTCTTTTTATAACAATTACTTTGATTTACAAGCTAGGGATAAAAAAAGCTTAAATATTAAATTTGGTGTGATTCAGCTAAATTTACTGTTTCAGACTCAGTTAAAAGGAATCAAACCAATGTCTGAGACATTTGGAATATATTTTCTGATTCTCTGAACAACAATAGAAATAAACCACGTAATAAGATGGTGTCGTGTCGATTACAGGAACAGTCAGCAAGGCAGTCAATTATGTGGCTTAAATCTAGTTTGTTAGAAACGAATGGCGTCCTCGTTAATTTGGACCACATTTTCTGTTATTTTTATTTTTAAAGTATACGTATAGAATTTGGTTTATATACATGTTTAAGCACGCAGATGGGATCTTTGCAGAATCCTTCACTTTGACTTGAGCATTTGTATCATCAAGTAGCAAAGCATTAGCAACAGTTTCTGAAAGGTATATAACAAATGACCCTTTTATTGTGCTGCTAATGCGGGCACTGGGTGAATACACATGCATATGAAAATTATCAAGGTGGTGATACTATTTACTAATTAATAGTTTTCTTTCTAAAATAGAGAAGTGGAAGGAATCAAACACTGTCTTAATAGTGACTACTTAATTGTGCGGTGTAACACTGGATCTACGCATCATTTAGCTTAACTAATGATTGTAGTTTTGAGTATGTTTTCTTTAAGTACTTGATTAAGTATCTAAACAAATTTGTAACTTCTGCAGCTCACTAAATATGGTAGCTTTTACAAAGATCCTAAAGAAATTCGACAAGGTAAGATATACATTAATTTGTTTTTTGTCAAACGATAAATTTGTTAGATTAGATATTAAATTAAGATATATTTTGATATTCTACCATTTTTTTCAGCCTCATTTAATTAGCAAATAAAAATATCTCCACTTCGTGAGCCATGATAGGATAGTATGATTAAGCTGCATAGATTTTATTAGGGATTTTACTTTTAGGTGGTTATACAGGTCATGAGTCATGCATATTTGATTAGGTGTATAACAGTGCTGTATCAAGTTTTGTTTCTCCAAATTCTGTCGATCTTATTGTTGCTTTATACACATTTACCACATCCACTATTGGTGTACGTAATAACTTGGAGCAACTAAGTTTTTCCATGTATAGGTATCAAACCAGCAGGCATCAGAAAGTTATCTGAAAGCAGTGAAGATATCACATTTCATTAGTTCTGATAAGGTAACCAGTCTGATGCCCTAGCTGCAACCCTACTCTAACTAATATGCACATGCTTGGTGCTTGAATCTGCTCTAGTTACCATGATTTTCATTTCTTTTTCCGTTGTTTTGTATAATGACCATGATCATTATTTTGTATTAGTTGTAGTACTTAGTTTTTGAGTGGAGAGGTTTGACTTGTTATTGCCGTCTACAGTCCATGTTATCATGTCAAATAATAATTTAATAAAAGAAGATTTACTACGGAATTCAAAATATTCTAGTGCTATTTTTTAATTCTTATAACTAGTGTTGGAGAAAGTTTCAATGGTTTTCTGACTGGGCTTGTGTGTATTGTTATATATGGTATGAAAAGGTTGTTAGACTAATGGACGAAGTGGAGTCCATATTCACAAAGCACTTCGCCAGTAATGACAAGAAAAAGGCAATGAAGTTTTTGAGGCCACAACAAAACAAAGATTCTCATACGGTAACCTTTTTTGTTGGTAATCTCTCTCTCTCTCTCTCTCTCTCTCTCTCTCTCTCTCTCTCTCTCTCTGTGTAACACACACACACACACACAAATAATTAATAAGAGCTGCATACATGTAAATATTACTGAGGTTATTACTGGCTGGCAATCCAAATATGTGCTTTATACAAATGTCCATATATATTTATAAATTTAAAATACATAATGGCTGTTTTAAAGTGTCAAATACAGCTTCATATAATATAAGGAAGGTCACTATATAATGCTAGTCCAATGACTATTTAACTATTGTGCCATAAAGGGCATTTTCACCAAATGGCGCAAAAGTTTAATGACAGAAACATCGCTTATACAATGCAATATGATGCATGATTAGTCCTGGGGGCCAACATGAACCGCATTAATCTGCATCGTATCGTATAAAGCTTTTACTTGCCACTAATCCTGATAGTGGGATTGCTCAATATTTAATTGAATGAATGGTGGCCACCAAAAATTTACTTGGTGCCCCACAAATCAGGAGCCCGATTGTTGTATGAGTTTTTTGTTTGGTCTGATTTTGGTCTCAATCTTTTAATAAAGTATGGTCGTTTTTTGTTATGTGGATGCAGGTTTGTTTACAGGTTGTTTTGTATCATTGTTTAGTGTTTATGCAATTTTAGCGCACTTGTCTGGTATATTCTCTCCTAGCACAGAAAGAGATTACATGGAAACTGTCTACCCTGTTTTCAGGTGCACTCTTCATCCTATATATATTTTTTTTAAAGTTATATATTTACACATAGGAGGGAGAAAACAAATTGATATCAAACTCATCATTTACAAGATTTGAACTTAAAACATCTTACTTACAAGTAAAGAATAATACTACTAAATTGTCCTAATAAGTGGCTTTTGGTCCCAATCTATATTAATTAGCCCTAATTTTTTTTACGCATGTACTATATAAAATGATAACATATATAAATCCTATCACAAAATAGCAATAGTTTCTACTATGATCTAAAATTAAACTATTTGCACTAAAATTGTAAACCATACTGTGGACAATATCACCAACAGAGGTGAGAGTATGAGAATCACTTGTATAGTCAGTCACTTGAATACACTAATTTAAGCAAATATATCCCTAACTTCATGTTAGTGGCTAGATAATGAAGTTTTTAAGCTTAACTACGTGAAATTTCTTAGCTTACTGGCTCATTTCTTAAACTTAAACTTTCGGTGTCTTTTAATTTTATACTAAGATATTTAAGCTTTAGTTATAGGACGTGTTGGGTTCGAAACCTTTAATTCTCAGTCACCAATCCTTTGTTGGTTTGCAAAGTGTAGGATGGGGGCTGCAGCTATGTATTTATTATTGTCTGCATTTCTCTAATTAAGGGTGTGAATTTGTGCAGTGTTTTTGCCTTACTCAGCCTGCACTTGTTTATGTATGGGTGCAACCTATTCATGTGGAAGAGTACAAGAATCAATTACAACTTTATATTTGAATTCCAACCAAGCACGGCCCTAAAGTATCGCGACGCCTTCCTCGTATGCACAACCTTCATGACAACTGTGGTTGCTGCCATGGTTGTGCACCTTATATTAAGGGCAAAAAACTTCTTACCTAGCCAAGTTGATGCCATTCCTGGAGTTTTCCTTCTGGTTAGTTTCATTGCCTTAATCAAGGTCTTGTTAGGAAGATGGCTTGGACTTGAGTAACTTGTATAAAACATAATAATCAAAACTCAGGCTTTAAAACAAAGTAACTAAGAAAATTGAGACATATATCAAGAAACATTGTGCTAATCTTCAATTGAATTTTCCAGTTTGCTGTTGCACTGCTTGTATGCCCGTTAGACATCTTATATCGACCAACTCGTTACTGCTTCATCAGAGTAATTCGTAACATAGTCTTCTCACCACTTTATAAGGTACATTTACTGCTTCTCTCATCTCCTCATCAAATATGCAGAATGTTAAGCAATATTTTGAAATTATAATTAATATACTTTTTGTTTTTGTCATTTGAAAAATATGCAGGTTTTGATGGTAGATTTTTTTATGGCTGATCAACTTACTAGCCAGGTAATCACATTATACTTCAACGGTTACAAAAAAACAACCTATGCCACTGTAAACCAAGTCCTAAAAGCAAATAACTCTTAACATTTCATCTCTTGTTATGTAATGAACTTTGATCTTCATGCTTGTAGATCCCATTGCTGAGACACATGGAATCCACAGCTTGTTACTTTCTTGCTGGAAATTTCAGATCACACCAATACGAAACCTGCCGAAGTGGAAGGCTATTTAGAGAGCTGCTTTATGTTATCTCGTTCTTGCCATACTACTGGCGTGCCATGCAAGTAATGCAACCTCTCCCATTATTTTTCTGTTCAGTGAAAATCATAATTCTTTTAGCTAGTCCAACTAACATGTAACCTTTTCCATATGCAATGAACTTCAAGTGTGCAAGACGATGGTTTGATGAATGTGACGTTAACCATTTGGCTAACATGGGAAAATATGTTTCTGCCATGGTGGCAGCCGGATCAAGGATTACATATGCTAACAACCCGCACAGCCACCTATGGTTTTATATAGTAGTGATCACCTCTGTGGTGGCTACAGTCTACCAGTTATACTGGGACTTTGTCATGGACTGGGGGCTTTTCGACCCCAAATCCAAGAACTTATGGCTAAGAGACGAACTTATTCTGAAGAACAAAAGCATCTACTATGCTTCCATTGTGAGTTTTTATTTAAATCTTTATGTGGCCTATACTTTCATTGCCTCCTTAGCATAAACCACATTCATTCAAAATTCTCAAACAGACAGTGCAAATTTATGCAGGCCTTGAATGCGGTCCTAAGAGTTGCTTGGGTAGAAACAGTAATGGGATTTCATAGAATTCCGGATGTTGAGTCACGATTGCTGGACTTTCTCTTAGCTTCATTAGAGGTTATCCGACGAGGGCATTGGAACTTTTACAGGTACAACATTATTTTTGAACAAAATATTTGACCAATAATAGGGTAATTCCGGAATCATATTCTTCTATACAAGCACTACAAATAAAATCACAAGCTTCTCAACTTGTTAGATTTTTGGGTCGAACAGGTTAGAGAATGAGCATCTAAATAATGTTGGCAAGTACAGGGCAGTGAAGACAGTTCCTCTACCATTCCATGAGACAGATTCTGATGGCTGAGATGATCCTGTCTAATATGTATAGAAACCCCGAAATGCTGACATGGGGAAATTGTAAGGCGCCGCCAAGTGTAATGAAGAAAGGCGCTTTTCAAATGGAGTACCTTTTTCTGCTGTTCATTTTGGCATTTTAATTTGGAGGTGTATCATATATTTCTGAAGACAGTTCCTTTTCGGATTGACTACTAAAATACTCGCATTCAAATAACAATATAGATGAACCCCGTTACAAGAAATGAAAATTGGAGCAAGTGATTTCATTTCAACAGTTTGTCTCAATTTGATGAACCATCAGAAAACAATCCTGTCTTATCCGATTATTTTTACTAAAAGAATAGCACGACTAGGGGCTTACCATTCTTGATGGAAACATGGTCAAATACAAACCTTAAAAGCGAAGCTTCATCTTTGAAATTCTGCATGAGAAATTTACTGTGAGAGTGAGGCTTTGTAATATTTGTACTCAAGTTTCCTAATCTTCAATTCTAGGGGCAGATTAAGTAATGATGCATATGCAATGGCAGGGAAGGGAAAGCACACAGCTCTCTCCCTTCACAAATCGTCGATCGTAGAGAACTCAACTGAAATTAAAATCCCGGAACCATACATTGTAGCTTTTCCTTGGTGTTTAAACATTTAAAGAATGTACTAACATACATCTGGTTTAAACCTGTTTGGACCTAGATTTATCATCCCTGTTCAGGTCGAGTGAGCGTGGCATTTGAGTCGAGTGAGCGCGCATCTAATTCGAGTCGAGTGAGTGCCGTTTCGTTTGAGTCGAGTGAGCGCGTCGTTTGAGTTGAGGGAGCTTCCAATCCCTATTTCCTTGCAATTTACTTTCTCCCATTTTATTTTCTTGCAATAGGAGTTTTGTAATTTAGTTACTTATCAATTCGATCCATTCTACCAGCAGTTCGTTTGGGTTGATGTGATCACTTTCACATACATCCCAGCTTACCTTATCAACCACCATAACCATTCCACTTCACTTTCACGAACATCACCTGTTCTAAAGTCCTTGCACCCAAGGTATGGAGTGAAAGATATGATTTCTGAAACTCAACTCAATGAATGAGTGAGGCAATTATTATTGACATATATAGCAGTACAAAGTAGACGTGTAGTAGAATACAGTAATTACAAGCAGTATTGGAAACAAACTACAAAACAAACTAGAACTAGGCTGCTGCTCAAGTATCTGTATAGGAGTAGGAATGAACATCCTGAGCGGAGAAGGATAGAACATCCTTGTTCTTGTGGGAGACTGGTTTATCATGGAGAACCCTTAACCGAGACGTGTTCCTTTCTTGATCACAATCATTTTGAAAGAAGCCAGACAAAGGGCAAATCAAATTTTACTCGCTCGGCCTCTAGGGCACGAATTGGCACACCCATAAAACTTGAAGGACAAGAGATACCGAAATTCTTGGATGTGTGGCTGAGACCGATTTTGAGATCATCTTTTGGCATGAGCAATGGGACGCAAACGATTTTCGTTTTATATGTACAAACTATTTTTCCACCGGAAATGAATATCACCAAGCTGTGATGGGGTAATATGGTTTACAATGGACTCCACAACCATTTTCGTGCTAGTTTTGGCTATTATGAGCCAAATTATAATCATAATTGAACTCAAAACATGACTGAGTCATTGGTTAACACAAGATCCCAACCTAGAGTAACTACACCTACACCGACTTTGACGGTCGAATCAAACATGGGTAGTTTGAAACAAGACCTGAATGAAACCATTCATAGGACAACCATGACGAAAAAGGTCAACAATACACTTTAATGCATTGTTGCAAGCAGTCAAGGCGAATGAAGATGCGCTGCACGACCACCATCGCTAAACTCAGGGTGCGACAACTTGGTTAGTCAACAGGTTCAATATCAACAATCACAATTGCTACCCCCAGTTCCAACCGGTTTGTCAATTCCAGTCGCATGTGAGGTGTGTGGAGTGCGTTACTCCACGACCATCACTGGACTCGGGCTCCTGGGTTAATCAAGGGGTTCAACAACGACAATCACAATTACCACCCCAGCTCCAAGGGCCTCAACTGATTTGTCAATCAATCCCAGTCATATGGAATGTCCATGGAGTTAAGAGGCGAAGAACACTTGATAAACCAAGTGTAGATTTTAATCCCCATAGTTGATCATGTTTATCGATAGTCTCCGTTGCTATTCAGATTGGAATAAGTCGATATTTAGGGGAAAAATGAATGTAAATATTTTGTAATTATTAGAGTCATGTTTTAGAAAGGATACTGTGTCCTTTATTTTGTTTCCTTTTGTAACAAGGATTGTACGTACCTTTTATTCAGAATTGTGAAATACAGAAAAGTTACCCAGTAAAATTCTATTTGGTATCAGAGCCTAGGTTGCCGTAACCCTAGAATATTTTTTTTCTTCCGCAGCTGTTCACGGCCGACTGTTTTTTTTTTTCCTGCAATTCCCTTGCAGAACGTCAAGTTGTGTGTGTGTGTGTGTGTGTGTGTGTGTGTGATAGTGTCGTGTAGGAGTATTCTTGTGCTGAAGTATCCCCGTGGGTGTGCTATTCTGTTGTGCGTGGTCTCAACATATTTCTGCGTTCTTACAGTAATAAGTTAGGCTGCTCCGTGTGTGTATTGTGTTGTGCCGAGAAGGGTAACTGTTGGTATCATCGTGCCGTGCTCTGCTGCTGTTGCAATCAGCAATTGTTGCCTGCAATTGCTACGGGGCCTTGCTACCTTTATCAACGTGTGAATTCTATATATCGTGTCGTGTTGATCAAAAGAGAAATAAAAGGGACAAGAGGACTTGCTGCTAGTGTTGATAATTAAAAAAAAAAGGAAAAATGGGATTGGCTGTTGTCTGAATTTATTTGTTGCCGTGTGCTCTGCTTTCTGGTTTTCTAGTGTCGTGCATCAACAATCACAGAAGCTCTTAGTGGCGTGCTGCTACTGTCCGTATGTTATTATATTGGTTTTGCTGAGTATCTACAAGTTTTATCCGTGGAGTCTACTGCAACAATTGGATATTGGTGTGATTGCCGTGAGAATATTCTATTGCAAGTAGTTCTTACGTACTATTACTATGATGAATACCGGTTGGATTTTGGATTCTGGTGCAACAGATCATATGACGTATGATAGAACTTTGTTTCAGTCCATGAAAGATTCTCATAGAAAGTGTGTTGCAACTGCCAATGGTACTACTGCTCTCCAAGTATGAATAGAAGATCTTTTCCATTTGCACTAGTACACTCTGATATGTGGGGGCCTTCCCCTGTTAGTACTACTTCGGGAATTAGGTGGTTTGTTACTTTCGTGGACGATTACACTCGTATGACGTGGTTGTATATGTTGAAAAATAAAAGTGAGGTTTGTGATGTGTTTCGTCTGTTTCAACAAATGATTAAAACTCAATATTCCATTGATATTAAAGTTTTGTGTTCTGACAATGGTCGAGAATACATAAATTATGAGTTATCCCGGTTTCTACAAGATCGTGGAATTATTCATCAAACTACATGTCCGCATACTTCGCAACTGAATAGGGTTGCTGAGAGAAAGAATCGTCATATCTTGGAAACTGTTCGTGCCTTGCTTATTGGTGGGTCCGTGCCCAAACGTTTTTGGCCTGAAGCTGTTACCTATGCCGTGTATGTGATTAACTGTATGTCGTCTCAGGTTGTAGAATTTCGTACAACTTTTCAAGTATTAACGGAACATGTTCCTGCATATGTTCATATTCACAAGATTCATCGTAGCGAATTGGATCCATGTGCCCTTCAGTGCGTTTTTGTTGGGTTTGTCTCCCAACAGAAAGGGTATAAGTGTTATCATCCTAAAACTCGACATATGTATGTGACTATGGATGTTACTTTTTCTAAATCAGAGTATTTTTACTCTTCAATCCCATCACCTTCAGATCACCAGGGAGAGAACACTAGTGGTGATCAAGTTGATCTTGGGTGGTTAGAGGTACTAGATGATGTGATATGTAGTTCAGGGGGAGTATGTGTTGACAACAAAGATGAAAATGGGACATCAGTCTCTCAGCAAGAAACTGCCAAGGAAGCTATAATAGTCCAGCAGCCTACTGCCGAACCAAGTACTTCAGGGGAAGAAATGTCGCCTAATGTGTCTACTCTGATTGTCCCTGAGGTAAGTACTACAGATGCTCATGTAACTAATCCAAATAATGATGTAAGTACGTATAAGTTATCGCCAAGGCAAAATCGTGGTGTTCCTCCTGACAGGTTTTCTCCTAAAGGAAAAGTAAAGTATCCAATAGTAAATTATGTGTCATGCAAGAACCTTGCACCGGAACGCCAAGCCTGGTTAAATAATGTGGAAGCAATCCAAGCACCAACTCGAGTTGAGGAGAACTTGAATGATCCTAAATGGGTTGCTGCAATGGATGAAGAAATGATGGCACTACACAAGAATGATACATGGGAGGTAACGGAGCTACCTAAGGGCAAGAAACCGGTTAGGTGTAGATTGGTCTTTACGATCAAGTACAAGGCAGACGGATCGGTAGACATGTATAAAGCAAGGTTAGTAGCAAAAGGTTATACTCAAACTTATGGTGTTGATTATCAGGAAACTTTTTCTCCAATAGCGAAGATGAATACAGTATGAGTTCTGATTTCTTTAGTTGCAAATTTGAATTGGCCACTGAAATAGTTTGATGTGAAAAATGTTTTTCTTCATGGGCACTTGGAAGAAGAGGTATATATGGATTTTCCTTCGGGGTACAATGCCGGAGGGAAAACCGGAGTGTATAGGTTGAGAAAGTCACTTTACGGACTTAATTGTTTGGTAGATTTACTCAAGTTATGAAGAGGATTGGGTATTATCAAAGTCACTCGGATCATACATTATTTGTGAATCGGATAAGTGGTAAAGTGACTACCTTAATTATTTATGTGGATGACATGATAATAACGGGTGATGATTCTGAAGAAATGATGAAGTTAGAATAAAACCTTGCAACCGAGTTCGAGATGAAGAATTTCAGAGATTTGAAATATTTTCTTGGCGTGGAAGTCGCTCGGTCATCTAGAGGTATTTTCTTGTCTCAACGTAAATATATTATTGATTTATTAAAATAAACAGGCATGTTGGGATGTAAACCTGTGGACACTCCCATCGTAGAGAAACATTATTTGGGGATTCATCCAAATCAGGAACCGGTTAACAGAGGTAGATATCAAAGACTAGTGGGGAGGCTGATTTATTTGTCTCACACTCATCCTGGTATTGCCTATGCCATAAGTGTGGTAAGTCAATTTATGCACTCACCTAGTGTGGATCATATGGCAGTGGTAATGAGAATCTTGGCATATTTGAAGTTTGCCCCGGGTAAAGGAATTTTGTATGAATATCGTAGACATATGAGGATTGAGGGATTTACTGATGCTGATTGGGCAGGTGATGTGACTGATAGAAGGTCTACATCTGGGTATTTTACATTTGTTGGAGGTAATTTGGTTACGTGGTGAAGCAAGAAGCAGAATGTGGTATCACGGTCTTTTGCAGAAGTCGAGTACATAGGTATGGCACATGGTGTGTGTGAAATTCTTTGGCTACAAAAATTGCTTTGGAGTCTCGGTTTTAAACAGAATGAGGCAATGAAGTCTCGGTTTTAAACAGAATGAGGCAATGAAGTTGTATTGTGATAATAAGTCCGCTAGAGAAATTGCTGAGAATCCAATACAGCATGACAGGACTAAGCATGTTGAGGTTGATAGACATTTTATCAAAGAAAAGCTGGAGAAGAAGATTGTGTCAATACCGTTTGTGAACTCAGGGGAACAACTTGCAGATATTCTTACCCATGTCGTGTGAAGTAGGAGGTTTGATGACTCGCTTGTCAAGTTGGGTATGAGTAATATCTATACTCCTAACTTGAGGGGGAGTATTGGAATAAGTCAATTTTTAGGGAAAAAAGGAATGTAAATATTTTGTAGTTATTAGAGTCATGTTTTAGGAAGGATATTGTGTCCTTTATTTTGTTTCCTTTTGTAATAAGGATTGTATGTACCTTTTATTCATAATTGTGGAATACAAAAAAGTACCCTGTAAAATTCTATTATTCAAACTTATAAGATGATGCTATGAGAATATATGAACAATAAAGTAAACACATCATACACAAACACATAATTTAGAGAGGTTCAACGAACTTTGACAACTCCTCGTGTGATGTCTCTTGAGAAATCACCTAACTATGGAGACCCATATGTGGTAGAAATATTACTCCTTGAATTAACCATGTATAATGTTTACAACATATATAGGGTTTGAGAAGACCCATATGTGGTAGAAATCTTAAATTATTTGTAATCAATATTACATTCCATTCATTACGAATAGATTTTGCATTAATGGTTTTATTCTAACACTTTCTTAGAGAATCAGCTATTCTCTTTGAGAGACAGTATGCAGTTGATTGGATGGTGATCATGGGATTAACACCAACAGCACTAGGTAGAACACTCCCATCACATACGAAGAGGCTTTCTGCTTCCCAGCTCTCCCCATTCTCATCAACCGCCCCTTCCTTTGCATTGATTCCCATTCTACAGCTCCCCATCTGATGAGCTGAGGAATAGATTGTCCAATTCTCTACCAGTGACTGCGGCCCTTCATCTGCAGTAACCATGTCAAGAAACTCCTCCAGTTCCTCCTTATCAATCCCTTTACATTTGAGTCTCAGCCCATCACTCCGATGTGTGCCAACTTCAATTGCTCCTGCTGCTATTAGAATCCTTAATGCCTGCCTCAAACCTCCCTTTATGTTCTCTTTGTCTAAGGCAGAAAACTCATAACTTACTCTTCCACCCTTCGTAACTACCCCGGAACCCTTATCCCTGATAATTGAAATCAAATGGGCAGTTCTTGAAAACTTCAGCATTCTGTTCTTTATGTCTTCCCCAGACACCCAAGGGCTCAAAGCAGAAAATGTTCCCGGCCCTAATGCCGGTGTTTCTATGATTGCTTTTACCTTAGAGTCTGCTGATACCACCTTATACACTGATGTAATTATTCCACCCTCATAGTTTTTACCCTTGAACTCTGAATTTGAGTCAGGGAAATATCCCCAAGCCATTAAAACAGGGTGGAGATGAAGATTCCGACCAATGTTCTTGTTCTTCAGTCCACTAGAAAGCATTAAAGGGGGTGTCAAAAGAGCTCCACAAGCTGAGATTGTAACTTTGGCCTCAATTTGCAGCCTCTTCGTAATGTTATTGCTCAAAGGTTTTGCCATTACTCCCAAACATTTCTTTTTTCTTTTACTTTCACTCTTGTTGGTTTCCAATACAAATCTCTCAGCTTTACATCCAGTTATGATCACGGCACCATAATCCACTGCATCCATTAGCCATGTAGAATCTGTCCCCTTTTTCTCTCCTTTCCTGCATCCATAACCACATGATCCACAGTAATGATTTTCTGAAGAATTTCGAGGCACAAAATCCACCCAAGGCCTAGATTCTCACACCCTTTCCTTAGTACTTGATTTTGAAACCCTTCTTCTACACAATTCTCAGTAACACCAATTCTCTCGCATACAGTATCCATTGCAGAAAGATACTCCGATCCCCCGAAGAACTTGATCTTATGATCTTTATTCCATTCCTGAAGCACATAATTTGGTGTTTTAATACAGGCTGACCAATTAATAGCAGAGCCACCACCAACCGTTGATCCAGCCTGAAGCACAATTTTCCCATCAACAGTTACAAGAATGCCTCCTGATTCATAAAGGTGATCATGGGAGGGAGCTTCCAAAGAAGAGTAATCTGAGGGAGTGAAGTAGTTTCCTTTTTCGAGAACGATGACTTTGTGGCCTGAGCTTGCAAGAGCAGCAGCTGCGACACCTCCTCCACAACCAGAGCCAACAATTATAACGTCATTTGACGTTGTAAATATTTTTTGTGGAGTTATGTATGACTTGGAAGCCTTTCTGTTCAAGGGAATTCAGAAGGCTGGTATCAGTTTCAAGCCTTGTTTCTATGATTCCCTTCTGAAGAGGCCGCTTTTGTTCTTGCATTTTTGAGTGGTTCTTCTGATCATCTTGGTCATCAGTTTCTACATGGTATCCAATGGCTTGCCATATTGGGTTTTCTGCATTCTCACCAACCTGCATCAAAGGATTAAAGCTTGAAAAATTTAGGGATTGTTTGGTTTTCAGTTTGAAATTAAATTATAATTTTCAAAAATTAAGAATTCATTGGTTAAAAAAAATCAATTCCAAAAGAGTATCAAATAGGCCTTAAGTTATCAAATGCTTGGAAACTACTTTACAGTTAAATATGGGGATTTTGCCTAGCAGAACTCATGGGATTTGAATCCATAATTACTAGAAAGCCTTGATATTTTTGTCATGTATTTTGACATCAGTAGGGCAGCATTAATATAACTCATCTACAAGAAAATACTATATACATAAGCACAATCAATGGCCACAACCCTTTTGTCAAGTGACATGGCGTGAGTGGGGATAGGATGAGGATTCACGTACAAACTCACACATGACCTCCATGAAATAAAAAGCCAAGAATTCTACAAGCTCCCACATGATAAGTTGGTCTAACTCTTTATTAAATACAAGTTTTCATTTAGTTGGAGGAGGTCCCATATACGACACACACAAATACGAAGATAATATATATATATATATATATATATATATATATATGGGTTAGAATCGAGGACACGTCATTTTTTACACCTATTTTGTAGAGCTCATTTCGTAATCTTTTTCAATGATCCAAATTGTCTATATTTTAATACATCATTCATAGATCATCCTTACGAAAAATTAAACAAATCAAAATCATTAAGACATTCATTTGTAGTGAAGAAAATAGATGAATACGATTTTGCGAAGAAGCACTAAAATGACTAACATTTAATCCAACAGTCATATGGTTTCAGATTTTGGTGATTTTTCGTAGATATGATTGTTGAGTGAAGACCTAAACATAGACAATTCAATCATTAAAATACATTAAGAAATAGACCTACAAAATATGTGTAAAAAATGTGTCTCCTTATCCTAACACTATATATATATAAGTTTTAGTATTGAGTTTCTCCCAAGATTACTTCCCAAGAAAGATTTTTTTTTTTAATAGAAAGCGAGTCTAATTGAGATTTTTTTTATGAGAACTAGTTTAATTGACATTTTTTTTATGAGAACTAGTTTAATTGAGATTTTTTTTATGAGAAATAGTTTAATTGAGATTTAACTTTTGTTTAGTAGGATAATACTTTTCAAAAAAAAATATTGACAAATGATAAGACACTACAAAATTAATTTTGTTCACTATGATAATGTATTGTATTCATAGTAAAGCTACACCACCACAACGTAGCTATACCACCACAACGTAGCTATAACCACAATTAGGTATTCAACACATCATAAATATGCATCATCTTTATACTCATGTTAGTCAACAAAACCTAAAACCTCCTCCTCCAACTGAATAGAAAAAACTATATCAATACACTGAAAACTAATTGATATACTTGATTCCTCGACTAGGTGTCTATCCCACATGAATTCCCTTTCTCATGAGATTATATGCTTTAGAGAGACAACTAATATCAAACTGAGTTTAATGGCTTAATACTAGCTTGTAAGGATGTGAATATATGTCTCATTAAAAAATTTAAAAAAAATATATATATATATATATATATATTGTAAAGGCATATAAGAAGCTGAGTCACGCCCCTAATGACCAGTTGATTTTGACCTTGTGGAGAAAAATAATGACAAAAAATTAAAAGTGTTATTTTGCCAACACAACAGCTATCACCTAAGGGTGACTAATGCTCATCTTGGGGCTGAGCTACAACTTCATGCATAGCTCTCTTGTTATGAGGAGAGTTGTTCATCACCACGTGGTACCCAATAGGAAAGATTAAGCTTTTCTTGATGCCTAATTAAACATTTAATTGGCCAAGTCCTACTTGATTTTATACCTAAAATATAGTACGCTGACGCATAATCATCTTATTAATTAGCTTCATCTGCACTGGAAGTGATGACGATGATGTTTCAACCACTGGTTATTTTCAACTTTTTTTATTTATTTTATATTTGATGTCTCATGACTATCATGCAGTGATTTAATACAGCCTTTCGCTATCTGTATGCACAAACCGCTCACCGGTTCAACTTCTTAATTTGTTTGATGTGCCATACTATTACTCTATTTGTCAACCAAAAAAAATATAATCTTTATCACCCTTTTTTTAATACAAAATTTTGACTAAGCTGTATAATGGGTTAGTTAAATTTTTTTTTTTATTTAACTCTCTATCTATAAAAGCTGAACTTAAAACTTTTTACTTACAAGTATCATTATGACACAATACTAAGTGGTGTGGTCCAAGTCATGTAATAAAATTTTTAGAATTTGAACCATTTTCCTAATTTCTCTCAACTTCTTCCCCAAAAACTGCCTTCCATTTTTAACCCAAAGAAAAACTGCCTCACATGCGAAACATGTGTGATATTGCTAGTAATTGAAATAGAAAGAAACAATCTTTTACAGTGAAACTGTAGTTTAGAGAAAGGTAATGAAATATTACCCGAGAGAAGAAAATGTAGAGGCAAAGAAACTTGATGTAAACAAAGGCAAGCCTAATGGGGGTAAGAAACTTGTGCTTGAACCACTTCTGCAGGACCTTTTCTCTTTTCTCCAACGACAAACTTGAAAACTTGTGAACGAAGGGCCATGTCTTACCAAAACAAAGAGAGCCACAGAGGAGTAGGGTTCCCAACTTAGTTCCCAATATCCACAAAACCACTCTAACCAATACCACAGCTTCTATCAAGGCCCTTTTCACCATTAGCTGTGCAACCTGTACTCATCGAATATATCCAAGTGATGTAATAAATCCAAGAAATATGAAGACCTAATTTAAAGAGCACAAGCTTACCTAAACTAATATTTTTTTTTTTTGTTAATTTTTCACAAACTTTCACACATTAATTAATACTTAATTAAATTTTAGAGTCATAAGTATGACAGACAAAATAGTTTAGTATTAGGTCGACAAAATAAAAAGTTTAGTATTAGTGCGGTCAGTCTAGAACCTGCACTAGTGATTTTTTGTTGTTTTTTTTTATTAAGCCTACCTAACCTGTGATTGAACATTATTCATTTTCATTCAAATTTGTTAAAAACAATTATCAACTTATATAAATAATTCTCTTTTTAATGATTTTTAGTTGAAAAAAAAAAAAAAAAAAAAAAAAAAAAAAAAAAAAAAAAAACTCCGCGGAGAGAGAGAGAGAGAGATACCTCATCAGGGATGGGAGTTTGAGCCGCAGAAGTTTTGTAGAAGGACTGAACAGCCTTGTTAATTGTCGGTTGTTCACCTTTGGTTTCATAAAAAGGAGGTAATAAAGCCTCACAGATACTTGCCAAAGACTGCATCTCAGCTGAAGAGAATCCATGACTGTATTTTCTGTCATCTCCTGCATATCCTCTTCCCCCATTCAACAAAGGATGACAGACCTTTCTCATCTCTCTCTCTCTCTCTGTGTAAATTGAAGGTACAACACACAGCTTGGCTTGCTAAGTGAGAGTTGAAGAGAAACACAAATGGGAAAAGTTAATATATGATTAGAAAGTAGAAACTATCACGTCTCTCTTTCTCTCTGTACCTCTATATATAGGAACTTTTCATTGTCCACTTGCTCGATCAGAAAAAGTTATGTGGCAAGTGCATATGTAGGTGTCATATCTCGTAACCATTATTAGATTGTCCCTCCAAGCAACTTGAAGGCTTTAATGAGGTTGAAAATTTTGATGAGGTCGAAAAGTTTGAGCTGTTCTTGTATTTAGTGCAACTTCTTTATTTTGTTAATTTTAGTTAAAAAAAATTATTTATGTATTTTTACTCAAAGTTTTAATTTAAATATTTAAAATATGCAAATCCAACTACTTTTCATGGAACATAGTTAAAAGAAAAATTATATGTCATCATATATGATACCTATATCATAAGTTGATGAAATACATTTGGCATGTGATAAAGGTATCTACGAAAATAAATAAAAATTAATATAATATCATCCATAAAAATAGTTCAAAGAAATTTCATCCTTCATCTTTGTATAAATTCATACTAGTATTGACACACCCCGTCCCGAAGGAGGGCATGTTGGCCGTCACGTCAGAGTGACGTAACCATTTACACAGTTCGGAAGCTTTTAAAATACAATTACTAAAATGGAAACCCCCGAGGGTGAGTCCTACTTTTGTGAATTCTGTCAGAACGCCGTTGGGTTCCTCGTGGCCACCAAAACTCTGCTAACTTGAACCTGGAGGGGCGAAAAACAAAATTGAGTGGGTCAGTAAAACCAAAGCTTTTCAAAAACATTTCGCCAAAAATAATTCTAACCCCTCTCTGTAAAACTTGTATACTTTTCCCAGAAAATAACATAATAGTATAAAAAAAATCCTCATATCTCAAATCATCAATCTGTATCAAAATCCAGAAATCATGCCATGCCATAAAGTCAAAACAGAATATGGATGCATCAATATAACAGGTGACATAATGAATCAACCGGAGACCCTGCAGTTGGTCCTGTACGGTTAATTCTATAGCTCAATATCTCATCCAGCCGGAGTCACCACAGTGACCTATACGGCCCTACTCTGCACATCACTCGGAACTACGTAAGGTAGTCTGTACGATGAAAGGTGTAAAAATACGCTCTAGTGCTTCTCTCATCAATCATCAGCGCGCATAACTAAGGTCACCCACTAGTCGGAATCACATCTGGTGATCTATACGACTAGCATGTCGGAACCCTCACATGGTCTGTACGACATCCACCTACTTGGATCCAAGGCGAGCGTGCGGTGTGGTGAATAATATAAGCACTAACACCTAGGGTGCAGGTTATGAGCTTTCAATGCAATTCACAAATAAATTGTATGAATAATGTAAAAACTCACATGTGCGTCCACAGCGTCAATTCACATATATATGTATCAATTATTAATTCAAATATCTCATCAATTGCATGCATGGCATTTAAAAACATATTTTCATTAAAACTCAATTTCTGGGAAATTCAATAGCATATAGGTATAAATAGAAAATACTGCCCACTCACCTGGAGTTCGCCCTATAACTCCCTAGCACAATACGCCAAGGCTTCATGACGATCGGCGCCTAAAACAATAATCAAATCCAACTTCAGAATTCATATCGATAGAATATATAACTTATATAAAATACGTCACTACGTAGTTCGATCCGGAAGATCTGCCACTCAGATTTTAAATCCATAACTTCCAGAGGTCCACAATATATCTCTAGGACAACATCCTAAAATTTCATTACCATCCAACGGTCGGATCTCTGTAAATTTCCAAAACCAAGTGACGGTTAACATTCTATTTTATGAACTTACAACTCCAATTCCGGAAGATCCGTACATCGGATTCCCGATCCGTAAGTTCCTATAATCCTCAAATATTACGTATTACAACGTATCAAAGTTTGGTGACGATCCAACGGTTGGATCGTAAATTCACATTTTCTCCTAACCACGAATCGTAACCAACTTAGGTTCAATTACTCAATTTACGTCCAACCATTATCAAAACTGAACCTAGAACCTTAAACACATGCTAAGAATGACATTGGCGGGCCATTCGCCACGCGCCGCCACGGTGAATACTATATAAACGTTGTTTAAAGCATATAACCAATAATTCTCAATAACTTCTCATACGGTGCTCAATTTGGGTACATGAATATACCACAGTGACCTACTCGACGTCACGGACGTCGTGATATTTTTTGAAAAATTTTCTGAGACCGCACGCGCCCCCACGCGCCAGGAAGGTCACGGGTTCACGCGCCCCCACGCGCGTTTCCTACCTTGGGCTCGCCGGACTGGTTTTTCCGGTGGCCGGAAAACTGGGGAATTTTCAAATGCTTCGTTCTCCTTCGTTTCTCAACCGTTTTCTTCGTATAATATATCAATTTGAAGCCCTCAACATGTAGAATCACAATAGACTAGTTTCAAGGTCCAAAATCCACTAGATTTTACCTGAGGAAGCACGATAATCCGGCCAATTTTGAAAAACTCCGATCTCGGTCCTCCGATGTCCAAATTCTACCAACGAAGTACCCCGAAGCTCGTGAGGATCTCCTTAAGCTCACTGTGAGCTTGAAATTCCCTAAAATGCAAGATTTTACGTGTGCATGAACAATGCACATTTTCGGGGTTATGGTTTCACGATGATTCTGAGGGTTTTAAGTTCCAAAAATCACATATACTAACTCACAAGCTTACTAGGAGTTCAAATCTTACCTTAGAACCTTCGATCCATGAAGAAATGGGAGGTTCCTAGCTTGTCCGTACGTTTGAGAGTGAAGGAGAAAGACTGAACGGAGAGGAAGAGAGAGAAGCACGGGGAAGAGAGAGCGAAGGGTTGACTGGGTGTGTGGTCCAACCAAAACCATACATACTAATTTTAATCCCTAACCACAAAATACAATCCAATTTAATCCAACTTAAATTATTTTCTCCAAAAGTTTAGGAATGTATATTTAGTCCAAATAATATATCATACACACACATACCTTAATACCCGTCAAGGGTAATTCCGTCTTTTCACGTCCTCGATGAATAAAATCCCGGGACGGGCTATGACAATCTTCCCCCCTTATAGAATTTCATCCTTGAAATTCATACAACCTACCAATCCACTTAATACTCATAAAATAACCTCAGATACATCTCTCTCATCCGATCTTCGGTCTCCCAAGTAGCTTCTTCCACGGAGTGGTTCCTCCACAATACTTTTACCAAGCTCACTGTCTTATTCCTTATAACCTTGTCTTTCCAATCAAGTATCGTCACCGGCTCCTCTTCGTAACACAAATCTGGGTTAAACTCTAAGGGTTGCAGAGGGATCACATGCGACGGATTTGTAACATAATGTCGAAGCACCGAAACGTGAAACACATTATGTACGCTGGACAGCTCTGACGGCAATTCAAGCCTGTAAACATCTTCACCGACTCGCTCGGTGATCTGATAAGGTCCGGTGTACCTAGGACTCAACTTACCTTTCTTTCCAAATCGAACAACACCTCGCCACGGTGATAACTTCATAAATACCCAATCACTTACCTTGTACACTCGATCAGTGGCATGTCTGTCTGTTAAACTTTTCTGGTGATCTTGGGCCGCTTCCCAAGTTAAAATTAATCACTCGAACATTCCAAGTAGACTCATTCATAACCTCAGGGCCCGCAAGAACTCTTTTGACAACTTCTGTCCAACACAAAGGTGTACTACAATCTTTACCAAAAAGTGCCTCAAATGGTCTCATACCCATGCTCGAACGAACGCTATAGATGTAGGCAATTCCCCTCAAATCCAACCGCTTAATCTAAGCGTCGCCAACTGCAATACTGAAGATCTCAGCATATCCTCCAAAGTCTGGATAGTGCTCTCTGATTAACCATCTATTTGAGGGCGATAAGTTGTACTATAAGGTAACTTGGTAACCAAGCTTCCTGTACGCTATCCAAAACTTAGAAGTAACCAACATACCCAAAAAGCTTAACAGTGTACATCGTCAAAATTGCTTTCTTTAATTCCACATAATTTGGCACATATGTCCCATTCTCTTGCATAAACATACCATCCAATTCTGCCTCGGTTAATTCTTGAATTCCTTCGTCAAATTTCTGGGCATCAAGTATACAATCAACTAAAATTGGTCTAACCTGAAAATTAGTCAATAAAGCTTCTTCTCAACTTTTACCTTAAGTTTCACTCCAGGGTCCCAAATCCACAAGAAGGGAAAACACAACAAGCATACAAAGCATTAATTCTTACTGAAGCCTTCCTACCAAGTGCATCAGTCGCAACAATTTCACGATCACCCTGGTCATGCAATCATAATTATTTAGTAACTCAATCCACCTTCGCTGCCTAAGATTAGAATACCTCCGAGTAAGCAGACATTGGAGACTCATTTGATTCGTAAAAATCTTACACTTTTCACTATAAAAGTAATGTCTCCAAAACTTCCAAGTAAAGATGATAGCTACTAACTCCAAATTGTGAGTAGAGTAATTCATTTCATGAAGTTTCAATTGCCGTGAAGCATAGGTAATCTCCCTACCTTGCTGCATTAACACTTATCCAAGACCAACCGAAGAAGCATCACTAAAGACCTCATAATTACCGCTATCTTCTGGGAGTGCTAAAATACGTGTATGAGTGAGGAAATACTTCAACTATTGAAACCTTTGCTCACAATTATTATCCACTCAAACTTAACCTCTGTTCTCGTCAATATCGTCAGTGGCAAAGCAATGACTGGGAAATCTTTCACGAACCGTCCACAATAGCCTGCCAAACTAAGAAAACTTCGAATCTCAATCACAGTTTGTGGTTGTTCCAAATTCTCAATTTCCGTTACCTTTTAAAAATTCACTTGAATACCTTTAGCAAATATAACTTATCTCATAAATGCTTCTTGATTCATCCAACATTGGCATTTGCTAAACTTAGCATACAATCGACGTTCCCTCAAACTTTGTAACATCAACTTAAAATATCTAACATGCTCTGCTCTAGGCTTAGAGTATACCAGAATATCGTCAATGAAAACAATAACAAACTTGTCA